AGAGGAGAGGAGAGGAGAGGAGAGGAGAGGAGATGGATTTCAGCTCACTCGCAAAGGCAGTCTCTTTGACCAGCAGGAAGCAATTCATTTCCTTGTCTCATCTGATCAAACAGGATAAAAATGAAGAGGAGTAGAAACACAGAACGAAGAAGTGTGAAAAACAAGAACCGAGGGGAAGAGACGAGAAGAAGAGTAGAGGAAAGAAGATTCGTGGGAGGCGAGGAGGAGACGAAACGAGAGGAGAGGAGAAAGTGAGCAGTGAAGAATGAGGCTGATTACATAGGTAATAGCTTTTTGACTTCTCTTCTCACACCCGCGATTTTTAAACGCTGAAATCTCACGATCGTCGCGAGGAACCTGACCGTTTGATCATGTCAGAGAACTGCCGCATCCTCTTTCCCTCCCTGCTTTCCCTCTTCCTTCCCTACTAACTCCTCCTCTCCTCTCTCTCCTCTCGTCATTTTTCTTCTCACATTTCATTCTCTCCTCTCCTCCCCTCCCCTCTCCTCCCCTCCCCTCCTCTCCCTTCCCCTCCTCCCCTCCCCTCCTCTCCTTCTCCGAGTCTGTCCCCTCCTCTCCTTCTCTCCTCTCCTCTCCTCTCCTCTCTGTGTCTATTTTCTTTCATCCTTCCTTTCCTCTCGTCTCCCTCTCAACCTCGCAGATGTCGTTGATGCCCAGGAGGGGGTCGAGGACGACGGGATTCCTCTCCCACACGTTGCAGGACGTGAAGAGGAAGCATCTAGGGCTCGAGCACAGGGGGCACCAAGTCGCCAGGCTGCATCCTGCCTCTCTGTCGCAGTCGCTCAGACATCCTGTCAAGTTCTCTGCCATGGAGAAACTGCCGACCTCTCCCAGCGCGCAGCTGTAGGAGCCGGCGAGACAGAAGGCGTTGGGGCAGAAGGTAAAGGAGTAGACCAAACCCCCGCCTGCATCGCACGTGTCCTGCGCCGCATTCAAGGACATGCTGAGGAGGAAGAGCCCGATGACTTGAATCATCACTGACATCCTGTAGGGCTGAACGCGGTGAACGAGACATGGCAGCGAACATGCCATGTGCAACCTGATCATCATGTAACTGTACGACCTGATCGGATCATATCATTGCTCCCCTCTCCCTCTCAGGTTCTCTACAACATCCGGAAACGCAGACTGTCTTCTCTTCATTGAGTTTTCACTAGTCAATGTTTTTGTTGAATCGCTGACTCAGGGCCCGGTCCGCGCCGGGGCCGATGGAACACCGGGTGGTGCCATCACTCAGCCGCAAGTCTGTATCAGGACCGTTTCAGAACCGTTTTCATATTCGGTCAGGGCCAACACACTTTACAATACCAATATTTAGATTTTCATACTAAATTTCTTAGCAAAGAATGAAACAGCTGTACCTATCAATACTTATATCATAAAATATAATCTAAATTTAGATCAATCTAACAACTTAGTAGGAAATATTTTTCTCAAAAGTACAATTTTCCCGTACACTTTACAACTATAAATATTTTTTTTTGAATATTTTTATGTTTTTAAAAGTGTGAAAAAAAACCCACCCACCTTCACCATCACCCCTTCTTGTTTTGGTCCATTCTCAAACATTATCAAATATTCAAACTTTATTTATAATTTTTCAAAATTAAAAGTAAAGTTTGATACTTACTTCTTCAAATTCTCTATAGATTTCAATCCCTTGACCCCCCAACGGACGACCACCCCACCTACTGTGTTCACAGCGTGTCCCTGCACTTCCTCGACCATCCCGCTCCTCGCGCATCCCTTCCCTCCCCTCCTTGCGCTCGGTCTCTTCCCGCTCTTCTCTCCTGCTCCTTCTTCTCTCCTCTCCTCTTCTCGCTAGTATCCTTCCTCTCCTCTCACTTCCTTCTCCTCCTCTGAGTCCCACTAGCTTCCTCACCTCAACTCTCCTGCGGGCCTTGTGTTTCTCCTGCTAGTTGCTTTCCTGTAACTCGAGCACTTAGGAGATCTCTTGAGTTGATTTCTCTCTCAGACAGTCTTACAAGGTCGATCCTTTCTGCACTGTTGTCTTGTCTCTCCTCTTTTGGGTCTTGTGAGAGTGCAGCATAGCTTTCGGCTTCTGTCTTAGTGCCTGTAGTAGCGTTTATCTGCGTTGTTTTTGACCACTTTTTGGTCAGCTTAAGGTATCTTTGCGCTCGGCTCTGCCGATTAGCGTGGTGTGCGCTTTGGTGCATCCTGGTTGGTCTTTCTCCTGGGTTCTGGGGTTCCTCTTCTACTTGCATTCCCACACCCTGCTGGTGCCTGGTCTTGAAAGGAGGAGGGATTGAGTGTTTCGAAACTTTCTGATTCGTCCTTGGAAGCTTTGCTACGGAGGCGTCAGACAGCAACTTCGTCGAGTTCGCTCATCACTGATAGACAGAGGCTAGGAACTCAAGGTATCGGGAGCATTAGATTGGCAAACTAGGGTTTCATTTCTCTTTGTAAGCTTGCTCCTTTACAGCTTGCAAGGTTATAGCCGGCTCGTCTAGACGACTTTGTGTTGAGGCGACCGCTTTCTGCCTTGGGTACCGGATTTCTTCAACGCCTTTCCTGCTCGAACAGCTTCTGACTTGCGTTCTGCAAGTTTATCACAAGCCCAGATTTGATTCCAGCCCCTGCGGTCCCTTGTGGATTCGGGTATTCTTTGGGTTCTTGTTTTTGTGTAAAATGGCAGCACGTTCAGATGCCGCTTGCCTCAATGAGATTGGCGATGATACAACGTGCCAACGGCTCGACAATGTACGATCTTCCCTCAGGCGATTGCTTGAGGCACTGGATGCTATGCATACGGATGGATTAGTTCATGGAAATCTCACTTGGAAACACGTAAAATGTGATGGCGAAATTTACGAGATACTGGATTGCAACGGAGAAACGCTTATCTCACGAGATCGCGATGGTCAGTGGTCGAAGAGACTCACCCGAGAAAATCCTTTTGAATACTTGCAGGTAGATGGAAGTCCGCGAACCTGCGACCAAGCATCGCTCTGGAATCGCCCTCCAGAATTGCTTGTGCAGGGCGTAGCTGACTTGCTGCATTGTAGGACTGCCACACCTTCAGCGCAAGCTGTGGATATGTGGGCGGTTGGCTGCATGCTTGCGGAACTGGTGAATGGCGCTCCTTTGTTCGAGTCGGCGGAAACCACGTTTGATCTTCTAAGTCTTCATTGTGATTATCTTGGTTACTCCTTCAAGAGTGACGATCTTGAAATTCGTAGCTCTTTTGAAGACACGGCTTGCGACAGAGCTGCTGGACAGAACGGTGTCGACGAGCTTGTTGACGGATCGCTGTGCAACCATGGTTTGGATCTGTTGAACAACCTGTTGTCTTGTGACTGGCGTATGCGACCCCTGCCCTCACAAGCTTTGAAACACCCTTTCTTCTCTGAATGTGCTTGCACGCGAGGTCGACGGCTTGAGGCTGTTGAGCAGAGAATAGGGTGTTTTGAGGAACGCAGCGGATGTACACGTGAGAACGAGAATGAGAAAGAGGGCAGCTCAGATGCTCGAGTGTATCATTCTTTCTTGAGTGCAGATCTGCAGTCAGGTAGCTCGTACTCGTTTCCTTTGGGTCTTCAGGCTCTAGTTGATGAGCGAAAGAGGAAGCGAAAATTCGAGGTTGAAGATGAAATTTACCCTCGTGGACCTGAGGAGTGGATGAAACGGCAATGTTTCCGTGAGTCTACTCCGCCAGGGCCAGAGATGGAGGGAAGAAGTAGATAAACGTTTAACTTGTCAAGTAGATGTGTTGGTTGTTGAGTGAAATACTAGTTACATTACTTCATTTTGTATCATATGCCTAGACTTACATTAAACATCATTACTTTGAAACAGACATGCGTACAGTATTAATGTCATCGTGGCTCCGATCGATCGATTTGTCCTTGTGACAGGTTTCATTGGACTTCAGTCGCTGTCATCAAGCACGCGGTAAGCATCAGCTATCCTCGACTCACTGTCGCAGGTTTCCAGCGCGCATGAACAATTAAGCGTTAGAAAGGAGCACAGGGAGGGAGGTGGATGAGGATACAGACAAGGGAGGAGAGGAGGGAAGAGCGAGTCAGAGGAGGAGAGGAACTCACGTCTCCAGCTCCGTCAAGGAGAGCAGAGGCATCATCGGGGACTCAAGCACAACTGCGTTGAACCTCCTCACTGTGTTGGCTCTCTCCGGCGTTGTCGCGCTCACTCCTCCTGGAGTCCCTTTGTACTTCCAGTCATGGACGCGCCTGCGGTAGCCTCCTGCGTGCGGGAAGTGAAGAGAGGGAGGGAGGAGGGAGAAGAGAAATAAGAGAGAGTGAGAGAGGAGTGGGAGGAACGAGAAGAGTGGAGGAGAGTGTTGAAAGGAGTGGAAGAAAGGGGGATAGGGAGGAGGAGGAGGAGGAGGATCTTACCAGGGGTCGTAGGAGGATGCGGAACCTGCGATCTGGTCCTGCCATGACAGTGAGCAGCCGCCGCCGTGGTGAAGTCAGAGAGGGACATGGAGGAGGAGAGGGTGGCATCTCTCTTCGATCTCTTGCTGCCGTTCCTCGTCGAGCTGCGGAAGTTTGTGCACACAGTCATAAAGAGCTTCTTCGCATCTCTAGAGCTCGTCGAGTCCAGCTGGGTTCGAGCAGGCGCCCGTGCTGGTCCGCCTGGTCGAGCAGGTCACATGGTGAGGAGGTGAGGGTAGGCATCACTTCGAGCCAGCTGCTCCTCCATCAGCGCCTTCGCTGCTCCCTGCGTGCGGCGTCATCCTCCTCCTCCTCCTCCTCCTCCTATCCTCCTCCTTCTCCTCCTCTTCCTCCTCCTTGTCGTCAAAATACAAGTTTTCATCCATAACTTCATCATCAGCATCGGTTCCTCTTCTTACCCAGGGTCGCGGCTGCATGCTGGCAGGCCCATGGAAACTTCCTTCCGAGGAGTCGTCGGAGCTTCCCGCTCCTGCTCCCGCTCCCGCTCCCGCTCTTCGTTCCTCCCAGTTGGAGCATATGGCCTGTTGCATCCACCGGACCAAGACAGTCTGAACCAGCCGGACCTGCGGCACTCGCCTCATCCTCTCCCTGTGCTTGACGGCTAGCTCACCTCATGCACGATCTGGATCGACTCGGCGCCCACGCGAAGGATGCGGAGGGAGGAGGAGGCGTCTTTCCAGAGGAGAAGGAGGTTCCTGCGTTGGAGGTGAGGGGGAGGAGGCAGAGGATGGCAGGATGCCTGAGACTCGCGCGCGCGAAGCCTTGACGGATGCTCGTCATCTGCTTGGACACGGACGAGCTTGTCCTCCACCTGTCGATCGCTCTGCGGGAGAAAGTTCAGAGGTCGAAGAGGAGCCGCTCGCAGCACCTTCTCCTCTCCCTCCTCTCCCTGACCTCTCTGCAGCTGGACAGCAGATGCAGGATGAGTCTCTCCTGCAGGCAGGTAAGGCAGGAAAGGCATGGCCGAGGTCAACCCTTGTGATGAAGTTTGACATGCGCTCGAGATATTTCGCTAGAGTTCGCATCCTGTTGGTCGCCTGCAGTTTGAGGACTGAAAGTTCGCGCTTCTGGTGTCTGAAAGGTTAGAGAAGAGCGGAAGGAGATGCAGGAGGAGAGAGGAGAGAGGAGGAGGAAAGGAGACGAAGAAGGAGGGAGGGAGGGGAGGGGAGAGGGAGGGGATGAAGAAAACCACCTCGCAAAGCCTGAAGCTGTTATGAAACCACTCATTCAATGCGTTTTGCATGACAATATCCGCATAGATCGTCTACACACGAGTTATCATATTGCCAACATCTCATCTCCCCTCACCTTGAACATCTTGCTGATCACTTGTTCACTTCGTTTTTGCTGACGGTTGTCAATGAAATGTGAGAAGGTGGTCCTGAATAACACAATTGTCATCGTCATCACCATTATCGTCAACCCTTCTATCATCATCGTCATCGTCGTCATCATCATCATCATCTCCTCAATGTCGACCTCTTCTTGTGTTGAGCTATCAATGTCTCCAATATCAGCGAAGCCTCTTGATGGGCCAGTGAGATACATGTCCTACGGATCCAAGATCTGAAGAAGAGGAGAGGAGAGGAGAGGAGAGGAGAGGTCAGGAAGAACATTATGAATGAATCTTGACATCTCAACCTCGTCAAGACTTTTTTTGTTCGCTTGTCCCTTCGGGAAGAGAAGATGAAAACTCTCCAAGTTCGCCACACCTGATGAGATCGAATGAGGAAGCGAGAAAGTGAACTGGAGTAGAAGGAGCAGTAGTAGTAGTAGTAGTAGTAGTAGAAGGAGCAGTAGGAGGAGGAGAAGGAGGGAGCAAGAGTAGGAGGAAGAGGAGGAGGAGGGAGCAAGAGTTCGGTACCTTCAGTTCTTGCGATCTTTCTCGACATCTCCTGACGTAGCGAATGACCCGCTTCAGCCCTGCCAGGCACGTCAGGACGACGGGAGCACGAGAGAGAGAGAGAGAGAGAGAGAGGAGGGAGAGCGAGAGTGGGAGCAGGAGAAAGGGGTAGGAAGAAGGATGAAGGAGGAGGAGGAAGAGAGAGAGAGGGCGAGCTAGGTTGGACCTGATCTCTGCTGTGTGAAAGATATCCAATCTTGAAGAAGTGTTCTCGTTATCTCATTGCAAGCTCTGCGAGATTGATCAGGTCACCACCTCCCCCTGTCAAGACTTATTCACCTCCTCTCGTTCGCTCGCGCTGTTTCCTTCACCTTCCGCTCAGCTCGCATGTACACCTCAAGCCCCTTAAAGCTTTGCTGAATCCTCAGGTTGTTCACCCTGATAGGACAAGAAATCAGAGGAGAATTATCATCATCATCATCATCATTTCCATCATGATCATGATCATGATTATCATCACCATCATCATCATGTTCATCATCATCATGTTCATCATCTTCTTCGTCATCATTTCCATAACCATCGTCGTCGTCGTCGTCGTCGTCGTCATCATTATCAACAACAACAGTACCTCTTAACGACCATTCTGCAGCAGCTCTTGATATTCGTGTAACATCTCAAACTGTCCAGACAAGATTGGGCACTGCAGACGAATTACCCTCCCCTCCCGCCCCGCCTAGTCCGTCAAGACCTTCTGCTGTCCCTCCTGCCCCGACTTGACTTGACTGCCATCCACGTCCTCTTCATCCAACTGCTCCAACATCAGAATCTTCCCCCATCGCTCCTCCCCCGCTGCTGCTCCACCTGCTGCTCCCTTCCCCTCCTCTCCCTGCTCACCTCCAGCTGTGAACAACAAGGCGCGAGAGCTCTCGCTCCCTCCTCCTCGCCATGTCGGCAGCTCGACGTCGCGACCTCGCTAGCGCCGCCGGGGGTCAAGAGGGCCCGACAACATCAAGGGATTTCTCAGCTGACCTGCACGTTGCCAGCTGGGGAAGCAGACACTGAAGAAGATCGCCCGGTGAAAGGCCTTGGTGATGGCATGCCTTCCACCTCTTCTCAGCTCCCCAGCACATCCTCCATCTCCCCCTCACCTCTTCCTCCTCTCCCACATGAAGATCCTCCATTGCGCAAACTCCCTCCTCATGGTCGAGATGCGGAGCTTGAGGAAGACGGTGAAGGACGCAGACACCAGCCGCCTGCTCCTGCTCAGCTGGGCACAAGGAGGCTTAGCTTTCTCACCTCTCCTTCTCCAGCTGCAGCCGAACTGTTCGCGCCCCCCTGGCATGCTGCTGGAGGAGGTTGATCGGGCCGGCCAGCTGCCTCCTCCTCCTCGCTGCCCGGAGGCGCTGGAGGAGATGAAGGAGCCTCCTCCTCGTCTCCATGACTTCGAGCCAGCATCGGAAGCTCTTAAGGACAGAGAGGTTGCGCCAGTAGTTGACGGCACTGGAAGGAGGATGAGGATGAAAATGAGGATAAGGACGTGAAGATGGAGGAGGAGGAGTGAGGGAGAAGGATGAGGATGAGGAGGAGGGAGGAGTGGAGGAGGAGGAGGAGGAGGAGGAGGAGGAGGAGGAGGAGGAGTGAGGAAGGAGGTGAAGGAGGAGGAAGAGGAGAGGAAGAGGAGTGAGGGAGGAAGAGGAGGAGGAAGAGGAGTGAGGAGGAGGAGGAGAGGAACTAGGGAGGAGGAGAGATAGGGGGTTGGAGAGACAGAAGGAGATGGGGAGGATGGGGAGAGAGGAA